TTTTTTTTTTTTTTTTTTTTTGTCCCACCAAGGAGGTCCGGCATGGTCCACGGGCTGTTCACACTTTGCGAAGGAGAGCATGCCCACACTATTACTTTGCAGAATGTATGAACCGATTTTCTCGACCTAAGTTTAGTTTTTTTTTTTGTTTTTTTTTTTTCCTTCTTCCGTGGACCTGAAATCCTTGTCGTAATGCCCTCACAGGGGAAATTCACACAACAACTTTGGGCTAGGTATACCTTGTATCATGTCTAGAGGGGCGTTTGTTTTTTCTTCTTTTATTTTTCTGTGGTTAAGAGCAAGTCATTTTTTGAAAGTATGACCGTGTTTTTTTTTCCCCCAGGAAAGTACAAGAAAATAAAAAAAAACGAAATCAGGCTCGACAATTCGGTGCGCCGTTAAAATCAAGGTTGGCAAAAACAAGATTGGAGGTAGTGATGGTTTAGTAAAATTTCAAAAAAACTATTTCAAGTTCAATATGAAAAATATTGCAAAATTTATTACCGAATCGAAGAGTTAATTATATACACAAACTTAAAGTATGAAAAACTACTGAAGTCTTAAGCTAGCACGAGTTTTAAAGTTTTTTTTTTTAAAAGGAAATGCAGGCCAATTTTTTTTTTCAAATACTAGCTAAAAAAATGAAATATGATATTATCGAAGTAAAGACTTAATCGCAAAGGGAAAATATTCTTAATTCACTTTTAATATTACACATGGTGTTGTTTGTACGAATGACACAAATCATTGATCATTTTGAGGTGCGTAAGACACTTCTAACGAGTTTATCAATAATAATTTTATGTTATCATCTAAGCTAACAGTCCGGTCGTCCGGGTCACCTTGTTTTCCTTGGCGGCCCGACCGTTCAAGGAAAAAAAAAAAGAAAAAAAAAAACCGTTTCTGAAAAAAATATGTTATGCAGCAAAATAAACTGAACAACTTTTACATAAAAGTTACATCAATTTTTTTTACTAAATGCAGGGTTGCCGGCGTTCGGGACGGGCCGAACGCCCGAACGTATGGTACCTCTTCGGAAGGCGTTCGGCCGTTCGGGCCGAACGCGGACAAAAAAAACAACAACAACGAAGTTTTCAAAAAATTCCGAAAAAAACATATGTTATGGAAAAAAATAAACTAAACAACATTTGCGTGGGCACTGTATCCAAATTCTTTACCAAATTTGAATTACAAATCAAATATAAAAAATAAACACTATGAGAAAAAATAAAAAGAGAATTAAAATGAGTGAGTGTGCCAGCACCT